TAAAAATCTTTCATCAGCATAGACAGGAAGTATTCAGACAATATGCACACATAGCACGTAGTTTATATTAAATACATCATATCTATGTGTAAGATTAAAGTGACTATGCACTCACCTGAAAAGGTGGTGACTCTGTACTCGGACAGCGCTTCGTTACTCTTAAAACAATTTTCCTCGACAAAACAGCGGGTTTTTATTAAAAATCGGGCTTCGCTGGAGCAGCGTTTCCGAGCCGAAAGCTTTTCTTCTCGGAGCCGTCGAGCGCTTTGGGGCTTCCTTCTCGTGCTAGGGAGGTTCCCTAGACTTGGGAGGGGTTTAGGGAGGCTAGAGAGAAGTTAGAGAGAGAAAGAAAGGCTTATGGTGTGAAGAAAATATGAAGAGTTCACCATTTATTTATAGGGATTTTATAGTAAAGTAGTCCCTAAGTTTCGTCCGTATCTTCCGCGTACGAGCTCCGTTTTCTACGTTCTTTATATCCACGCATTGGTATTTATGAGTACTACAACTTTCATTTAGACCCCGTCAGCTAATTCTCCTTCTATCTCAGATTTGCAAAAACTGTATCGTATTTATCGCGCACGAAGAGTAGCGACTAAGCTTCGTCCATATCTTTCGCTACGAGCTCCGTTTCCGACGTTATTTATATCCACGCGTTGGTATTTACGAGTACTGCAACTTTCATATAGACCCCGTTGGCTAATTCTCATTCTATCTCGGGTTTACAAAACTGTATCGAATTCGTCGCGCTCGAAAAGTAGAGACTAAGCTTTGTCCATAATTTTCGCATACGAGCTCCGTTTTTGACGTTATTTATATCCACGTGTTGGTAAAAATAAAATCTACAACTTTCCTTTTTACTCCGTCGGCTAATTCTCGACCGATCTTAAATGTCCGCGTAAAATTCATAACTTTTACATACGGACTCCGTTTTCGTCTGTCTTTTTGTCGTTGAGTTCCTAGTAATGAGATCTTCAACTCTCATTTAGGTCGCGTAAGCCAAAAACCGCTCGAATTAAAATTCGAGTTTCGGGCCGTGCACTGCTATGCCAAATCTTAGAAAAATCATAACTTCCTCATACGAAGTCAGATTTGGGCGTTCTTTATATCCCCGGAATCCTTGTTTCGACCACCACCAGTTTATGTAAAGATATCGGGTTTATCTCACACTTTAATTTTGACGCTTATTTTTATTCTTTATTAATTATACATTTATAATTAAGTATAAAACACATAAATTCACATAATTCACGTAATACTCAAATAATTCATTTTTATTACTTCAAAAAGAGTTACAATAGTTGACCTAGACTATTACATCATCTATTAATGCTTAGCCCCGAAACTCGGGCGTTACACAACCCCATATGGGTATTATCCTAAACCTATAATTTTTTTAATTACACTTCTGATTACCTTCAGTACCTCCTTAGAACAACTTCGTCAAATACATAGTCAAAAGTCAAGGTCAACGGCCTGAGTTGACCCAACTCGCTGAGTTGTCCTTCAACTCGTCGTGTTCCTCTATCAACTGTAAAGTCGGGGAAAACCGAGCCAACTTGCCGAGTTTATCCATAAACTCTCCGAGTTCGCCAGAAACCCACATCTTAATACATTAAGCAGACATTATTGACTTCAAGAGCTTCACAACTCAGATCTCGACCAATTATGAGATCTAGAAGGGTAAAGTTTCCAACTTTACCCATAGGAACCACCGAAATGGGTCCAAGCCCAAACCCTAGACTTAAAAGAATGAGGGCTTAACCATTAACCACTTAATACTGAAAGATAAAGCTCCAAATTGCAGATCTGATACCCTGAGGCTGGAAGACCACGTAAAGTTTCGAACTTTACGCTCACACATGACTAAGAGAGGCTCAAATGCTCAAAAAGGGCTTAACAAGGGACTTAAAGAATGCATGAAGCCCTTAAATCCATAAAGTTGGCACCTTTATGCCAAAAGAGTCCATGAAAACCCCAGATCTGAAAGAATAAGGTTTTGGGACGTCCTAATCCCAACATCCATCCAACTCACGACTCAAACATAACAATTAACCCAAAAAGAAAGATCTAAACATCTAGCCATCAAGATAAGAACTTGATACCTCAAACTCCTTGCAAAATTGATAATGATTCTAGATCCAAGGCCTCTCCTCCAAGATTAGAAACTTCAAGATCTTCTAACTCCTTCACAATGCACAAAATGGGCACCAAGCTTCCTTCCAAGGCTCAAATGCTTGACAATGAAGGCTACAACTCGTTTTAGGGTTTTGATAACAATGAATGCTGATAAGGAGGCCAGCCAAGGGACTTAAGGCCTTTAAATAGGGTGCAACACCCTAAAAATTAGGGTTTCCTTCCCAACTGTCAACTTGCTGAGTTGCTTCATTAAATCCAGCGGCCAAAACATAACAAGCCGAGTTGAGGCTACCCAACTCGTCGAGTTCGGCTGGAAAATCATACAAATGATAACTCTTATACCTGGAAGTTGGGATGTTATACAAATACCATTCAAAACATGTTAAACACATCAAATAACATCCAATATCATCACATAATTCAAGATTTACATGCTAGATATAAAAGATCATGAGATTTAAGTTCAAAAACTTCAACATGAATTCATGTGCACCACTTTAATGCTTAATGAACCAAAATGCATTTAGATCGTCAAATACTAGTTCTGATTGTCAATTTCAAATTAGTTTTGTAAAATTTTCTTCGTTCGTTTCTGATTCCGATTTCAAAAATTAGTTCTTTTTGTTAATTTCAATTAGTTTATATGTTTCACAAATTCTCTCATGTTTGAATCCCTACCACTTATATATAACTGGTTTAGAAGTGAGTAGTAGAGACATTCGATGATAAATAAAATTTCTAAGATATAGCTAAGAATTCTGTAACTCTATCAAGTTGTCTAAATGCGAAATAGCGTTTATGAAGAGAAACATATAGGGAAAAAAAGAGGAACAAAAAGGTTTTATTGTACAAAAGCTTAACATAAACGATTTTATTGTACACAATAATAATTATATAATGGTTTTTCGCGCATCGGAGGGTTGTAGGTTGAGATGTTGAGTTTTTCTAAAACCATGTAGGTTAGGTAACGGACTCTAAGGCTTGTTGATTCCAAAGTATTGTTTTAGGCATGATTAAAACATAAAATGGTTTATTGTGCAAAATAATAACATAATAATTTATCCGAGGATTGAAAGATAATATATTAGATTTTTGCTAAATAAAAGTCGATTATATTTTAAAATAAACTTTACTTAAATAAAAAATATATCATTAAATAAATTGGATATAAACATATTTAATTTCGTTTAAAATATATATTCCTATGTAATTCAAATAACGAAGAAAGTTATTCATCATTTAATAAAATAGTATACGAAAAAAAAAAATAAAGTAAAGTCTATAGCCATAAATGTAATAAAAAGTAATGTCAAATTGATTTTGGAATGTAAAAAAAAGTATAATTGAAGTTTCAATTTTTTATTATATTAATAAAAGAAACTTAATTATAATATATTATTCAATTCCTCTAGGAATGAAAAAAAAAACATCTTCATTCGTGGATTAAAATCAAACAAACAAAAAAATTTCATTACTTATTCTATCGTTCTCTATTTGATTACGACATAACAAACAATACCTTATGCATCAAGATTGATTAATTTTGAAAGCAATCAATTCAATATTATCATTTTCATTTGAGCCGTAAACGAACATAACGAACATGAACGTTCACGTTTGTTTGTTTAAGTTAATCGAATAAACGAATGAACACAAATAAGTAATCGAAAATGTTTTTTGTTCTTGTTCATTTTCTATCATTTAAGAAATTACCTTGTTAGTGTTTGGTGGTTTATGTTCGTTACGGTGCTAAACGAACATAAACGAATGAACTTAAAAAACATAAATAAAAATATATGAACATAAACAGACATAAATAAACAAACATAAATGAACATGAATATCAAAATCAAAGACTATAGAAATTGATTGTCACATTTTTAATATATGATGTTGATTTGTAGTTAGAAGTGTTACTTTTGATAACATAATGTATAAGTTATAAAACTAAAGTCACTCTTAAAGGCTTCACTTTTAAATAAGACCATTGTTCATGTTCGTTCCTATAGGTAAACAAACGAAATTTTTTGTTTATGTTTATTTATTTATTAAATAAACAAACTTCCTACATACCGTTTACCACCTAAAATGGTATCTTTGGTGCATTTAATTGGTGAATAGTTCGTCATACTTTGTTTATAACTAGAAAGAAGTCAACTTTGGAAGCCACATGATGAATTTTTTAATGTGCCAACATCTTAACCAGCAAGCAACACCATGTCACCTTCTTCCATTGTAGATCGCCACATTTTGTATCTTCTCTAATTCTTTTATTTATAAATTCTTGCATCCACCAACATTTAATCTTTTACTCCTTGGTTGTAACTTGTGTAGATGCGTAACCATTTTGATTCATTTTAAAATCCATTTTGGCCCTTCCATGTTTACAACTGAATCTCAATTCCTCAGAAAAATATTGAGAAACTAACTTTTTAATGTTATTCACATTATATTCTAAGATAATATAAAAAATCTGCGTTTTGAACCAAAGAAAAATAAATTATCTATTTTATGCACGTCTAAACTAAAATAAGTCAAAGGTTAGAGAGAGATACACACAAAAGCTGAATTTTTTATACAACTTAATCATATTCAATAAATAAAATCAGCAGAAAATATGAAAAATGGATAATATACATATATACTCAAGTAGCAACTGTATATTGAGATACAAACAGACATTTTGACAATATACATATATGTAGATAAAACTTTGTCATCACTAATTCTATGTTCTAATGTCATTAAAACTAATTCAATTTCTTAAAACCATATTATATGCACAGTTTAGTAATTGACCAAGTTCTCTTCCTCCTTGCAGGGCTCTTTTCATTGCCTGCAACCTCTGCATGATTCCTTGTATTCATGGATAATTCAACTCCAAGGCTTTGAAGTTTCACAGCTCTTTCATTGATAGCCAACTGATTCCAATAGCAATTGAGTCTGCACATCAAGACAACAATCAGTATATTCATCGGGAATTTTCTCTTATATTAACTTGCAAAATAAAATAAAAAAGGAAATTTGAAGATCTAGTAATATACCTTCACAATAACCTTGTCATTCCACCTCACTTGTGTTATGGCAGGAGATAAGGGAGATCAGGGGCCAATAGTAGCCACCTCTATTACTCCTTTCAAATTCGGGCAGATCCATCATCTTTGGGCAATTGTCAATGCTCAAATTCAGGCAGATCCATCACCTTTGGGCAGTTGTCAATGCTGGGATGTTGGAGGGATGTGAGATGTTGGAGTCCCATTGAAAACGATTCCAATTTCTAAAATCCATTTATGCGAAGAGTAGTAAGAGATGGAGGAAAATTTTGTAGGCCCCACCCTGAGATGGGCTTCTTCAAACCTCCTATTTTAAGGAAACACAGCTTTGGAGGCCAAAGCCCAGGTGGAAATGAAGCATCCATGTTTGTACATGTTTGTTTCTCTAGATGTTCAAACACGCTTAACCCCGAAAAGGAAAATTTCCCATGGAGATTTTCAATTTTTTAAGTTTGGTTATTGGAAAGCAGTTGATACCTTCAGGCTTCAACAATCATCTTGCTGAGAGTTTGTAGGCTTTTCAACTCATCAATCCCTAATGGAATGAAATCTTATCCAAAAATGGAGTACCCCCAATGTCAAAATGCCACAACATTTAAGGTATGAAAAGCTCTCGGGCAACTTAATTAGTTTGTGACAGCCAAAAACGATCAACGTTTGTGAATTATAAAGATTGCAGATATGTTCCGGTAAATGTGTGATACTAGTTCGAGATAAATTAAGATACCGCAAGTGCTTCAAACTACCGATGGATTCAGGTACCTCGCTTATGCTAAGATGACTCAAATTTAGGACCCTTAGCAGCTGTAACTCGTGAAGTAAGTCGGTGAGGATCTTATTTGATAAGTAAAATGTTTCCCAATTTTCTTTCACCTCAAAGGATACTCCTAAAAATGTTCTTAAGCTTTTAGCTCTTTTGAATGCCTTGAACCTTTTGTAAACCATGTAATCCTCACAAACAAATGACATATGGAGGTACTTTTCCAAAGCTTCTTTCCTAATTTCCTTCTTCATCTCAATGTCTAACCTTGAAAAAAAATCTCCAGCAACAGATGTGGCCAAGTCATTTATGAGGTCATGCATCACAAACAACAATCTGTCATTAGGCGCATGTAGAAAAAAGGATCTTGATTGTTGTTGCAAAAACCCTTCTACCATCCAGAATGTGACCATCTCCAACTTATCAAACTTATAATCCTTAGGGAACACTGCGCAGTATGCAAACAACTGCTTCAAAGATGCAGAAAGATCATGGAAATTAGTCTAAGAGCCGGAACAATCTCATCTCTCTTTCCTTCCATTCCTTCTCATACGTTTTTGTCCTCAATAACCTCCCAAGTGTTCTTAAAGCCAAAGACAAATAGCTTTCATTCCATACATCATCTAAAACTATTAGAAAACATTTCTTCACGAGCTTCTCTTTAAGCATTTCTTCAAGTAGATTCAAATCTGCAAATTCCTTGTTTTCCTCCGTCACCCATTGATCCATAACTTTGCTTATATTGAAAATCTTGAACTCATCAGAAACACAATCCAAAGCCCTGAGTTTGAAGTGATCCTTCACTCCCACTTCACCATACAAAAGTAGAGTGGTTTTACCAACTCCACCCACACCAACTATCAACTATGAACACGATACTAAAGTTTTGATTACATGATTCATCTTCATCCCCCAAAAGCTTTTGAAGCAATACCTTCTTATCACCTTCACGCCCAACAATACCACTTGCATCTACCAAGCAGGCTTCATACCTAATTATTTTTCTCTTTTCATTTGTTACCATAGTTAAACCCAGATTACATTTTCGCTTACTATTTCCTGCAACCAGGAAGTAATATCATCTAAATTGGCATGGATCCTACTATTTTAGGGAGAAATTTGTGCAGCAGATTGGGATAAGTCTTTTTACCTTGCTGGTGGTGGAGAACATTCAGCTATCACTTAACAGCTTCATCAGTTAATCCCTTCTGAGAAGTAGATCTGGTTAGTATAATGGAGACATGGATGAAATTGACGGAGAGAGAACGAATTCAATTATTGTGTAGAGGAGAGATTTGGAATTACATCAGAATTTGTCGCCCAAAAGATTCAAAGTTGCAATTGCACGAAAAACTAACAGAATCTGTTAATAACAAGATCGAACGAAACATCTGAAAGAAAAATCTAAGAAACACTCTCAATAACAAGATCGAATGAAAAACTAATAGATATTATAGTGTGTAACATCTTTAACCCTAATCTCTGTCCTCTCTCTCATCTCAAAGATGAACGGTGAATATGCGTTCGAATCTAAGGAAATGAAATATGTAATATCTTTCGTCACCACCGAATTTTCTATTTGTTTTGTAAACTTTTCTTTAATTAAAAAAATTAATTTATTAAACTCTTATACCTATACGTACAAACTTATATTTTATATTGAATTTTTATGATAGTATAAACTGCAAAAAGATAATTATACAAACCGAAAATACATATTTTTTTATAAAAACGATTAATATATATCTTATTTTAGATTTAGATAGGGTCTACTCGTCTAGAGTCACTTAGTCAAGAATTTGATAGATATTTAAAAAGTTAAAAAAATAATAATAATAAAACATGTGTTTACGTGTATGTAGATAAGGGTGAATGGGCATGGGTGTGAACAAGAGTGTGTGGTGAGAAATGAGTAGAGGTGTAGGTGAGCGTGTGAAGAGTCTGAGAGCATTTAATGAAATCCTGATTAAAATAAAAAAGAGGTGTGGGAACAGGGAAGGGAATGTATTTGTAAGTGAGGGTGTGAACGAGTCGGAGAGCATTTAATGAATCGTGATTAAATAGAGAAGAGGTGTGCAAATGTATTTGTTTTTAATAAAGCATAAGAGTGTGTACAAGAAGCTTCTCGACATCATATTTTTCTTTCACTTTTGAGTAAATTACACGAATCGTCTCTCATGCAGGTGTCAAAATACACGTTTAGTCCTTATTTTTAAAAATTAACTTGGACCGTCCCTCGTATTGTTAAAAGTTGCACGGTACATCCCTCGTTAATTTAAATTTGCATGTTTCATCCCTTTTGATACATAAAAAAATATAATACCCTTTTTCTTTTCTTTTTCATTTATTTTGAACATATTTAATTATTAAAATTATTTTAATTATTTGCCCTGATTATTTTTAATTACTAAAAATTATTTTAGTTATTTTTCTATTTTGTGGAGTAAGAACTGACCACCACCACCACCACCGGTAATCTACGCCACCACCAGAAAATGGAGCACCACCACTACTTCTCACCGGAAAATGTAGCATCACCGCTATCCCTCACTTCACCCAACCCCCTCCTTCGTTAATGTTAACATGTTTCACTAAAAATAACTACAAACTAACAACATATACTCAAACCACCATCGAACCAGGCACATTTATTGTTAACACCACCACCATCCTCCATCGGAAACCCACCTGCAAAATAGGAAAGAATAATCAGGGTAAATTAGGAAGTAAGAGTCAGGGAGATGGATAATCTGATTTGATACAAAACTGATTGAAAGCAAACGATTTAGGGTTCTTAAATTGAAAGCAAACCTGATTCACTAAACCTGCAAATCTGATTCATTACAGAGGGAGATGGCAAGAGGGGGTTGTAAGTCTGCACTTCGTTCGATCGGTGAACCACCATCGCTAACTATGAGCCGACATCGTCATCAGCGCGCTGCCATCGTCGCATCATCTAGGGTTCGCATGATTGTGTTATCGCAGAGGAGGATTGTCAATGGAGACGATTTGAGTTCGATCCGACCTGCTTCTCCGATCTCAATGTCCCTCTTATCCGATCTTGCGTGATGGACTTGTACCTGGTTCGATGACCTGATTTCGGTGAGGACAGAAGGAAAAATTGGAAATGGAAGAGGGAGGGTGGGTTGAGTTGTGGTGGGTAATGGTTTGATAGCATTGTTGGAGTGCCCGAAGAGGCGAAGATGTCCTGAAGTCCTTGAAGCCGGCGATGATACCGGTGGAGGTGGAGATGACCGAAGAAGAAATGGTGGAAGAGGACGGCGTGCTTAGGGTTTAAGGATCTTTATTTAATATCTTTGATAAAAGGAAATAAATAATTATTTTCATAATAAACAAATCAATAAATTATTAGTAAATAAAAAATAAAGAAATAAAGAAATAAATAAGGATAAAATTATCTTTTTATGTCTCAAGGGATGAAACGTATAAGTTTTAAAGTAACGAGGGATGGTCCGAGTTAATTTTTGAAAATAGGGACTGGACGTGTATTTTGGCACCTGCACGAGGAACGATTCATGTAATTTACTCTTCACTTTTCTTTCCCTCACCAAAAGTTAGGGTGTGTGCAGGAAGTTTCATTCATTTTTTTTAAATAAAAATAATTGACTTTTAAGATTTATAATTTTTTTAAAGGAGTAATAAGCATAAAAATTAATTAAAAAAATAAAAATTACATAAAAAAACTAAAATTTGAATAGCTAGAAGGAAGTGTGGTTTTGAAGATTAAATTGTGTAGTATTTATAGATGTGGTAAATGGTATATAT